GACCAGTGGTGGGTTTGGAAGCTCTTCTGTAGGTGTGGCCTGCTTTCCAGGTCCACTGGTGGAACCTCTTCTAACCGGTTCGGTAGATTTGACGAACCGGTTCTACCGAATAGGTGCGAACTGGTAGAAACCCACCTCTGATGTGAATGCAGCAAGGTGATGATGTGGCAGCACGGGAGAGGCCACAGAAGTCATAGGTCCCGAATTTGGGAAGCATTCTTTAACTTAGCCCATTTGAGGTATGCCAATTAAAAAAAAACAAACATTGCTCTCTGATGTACCATTTCATCCAATTGAGGGTTACAGCCAAACCCAAGAATTCTAGTAGAATATAAATAGGGTGAATTGTGAGATATCACAATGTTAGTCACATTTGGTTTCAAGGGGTTCTACAAAGCAAGAACTGAAGCTTGGAGGAAAGGGAGCAGAGATAAATAAAATTGCTTTACTTTCAGATGCTGGCTCTTTGCTGTAGTAGTTTGCAATATTTTCTATGCTTCTATCATTAGAAGTACAGTTGTGACCAGGTGGATTTGGGTCCAGATCTTCTGACAGATCCGGAATTTGAGTCTCGAATCATTCAAAGCACTGCCTGGTGGATCCATCTTCTCCCATTTCACGCCTTCCTTCTGGGAGCAGTTGAACGTTTTTAATGGGTTTGCCTTAGTCTCTGTTCGGGCCTCCTCCTCCTCCTCCTCCTCCTCCTCCTCCTCCTGTCTGAAATATCTTCCCAGTGGCATCCATAGTGATAGCTGTCAAAACAGGCAAGAGAGAAAGCTTCAAGCGGAATAGTCCAAAAAGCAAAATGCCACTTGCAAAAAAGGATTTGCAATGAAGGCAGGGGGGAAAAAAAAATAGATTGTTACAGTGCTGAGAGACAGAGATGTTGCTGCTTCAGATAAGACTCCACCCTGTGGAGCGTGAATGGATATAGTTTTCACCACCACCACCACCCAGCTTCCAATAAACATGCGCAAATTTGCATGGAATTATTCAGGAATCCAACACCGGTTTAAGTGATAAAAGTTAATAAGAGTTGATTGCTATGCGCCATGCCTTTTAGAATGCCTTCACATAGCTGTTTTTAAAAATAATGATATGATAGGTATAAATCTTCAAATTGTAGCTAGTTGCTTTCGTTAAAGCACTTTCATTGAAGCTAAGACATTATCGACTGGCAAAATATTGCCGGGAGTGATAGAGAAATAGATTGTTGTCTCTGAATATTTGACCTTGCCGATGATGGTTTTTGCAGTAATATTGTAATGTTGGCATGCGCGAAAAGGAATAAAAGGAAGTTTAATTTAGAACAGCTTCTTGAATGCAGTTGAGTAACCTAACTTCCATAAGCCAGTATACAGATAACTAATCTGTGAAATAAATTAACTTTTTTAAAAAAACTGCTGCGATTCCTAAGTTTCTCTTGACCAATGGAGCTGAAATTAATACACCAATGAAGTTAAATATACATGTCTCAGGATAACGTTGGAGGATCCAATCTGGATTGGTCACTGGGCTGGACCCAGATTGGATCCTGCAAAATTTAATACCGATTCATTACAGGACAATAATTATAACAGAATGGGAAAGTAGCAGAGAAAAATCCTCAAAAATAGACTACTCGTTGTAGTGTACGCAGTTAAAAAGGGAAATTTTTGGCTGGGGCTGAAAAATAGCGCCACAGGTTTGATATTGCATAGCCAAGAGTTATGAATGCAGATGCTTTAATGATAATCTCAGGTAGAAAAATATGGGAAGAGGTACTACTTGAAACATTGCTATGAAAGCTAACGCAAACATTTTGATTTTTGGATGTGAGATATAACCATGTTTTTCCAAAAGGAAGATCCTGTGTTTATTTACTCGCCTACAAAAGGCAATACAATCTGCCTTTATTGTCACAGTGTCAACAAATCTTAAGGTGATGCTTCTATTTTAAAATTATCATAATTTATATATATTTTTATTATGTCAGGAGTATGTGTGAACCAGGTTTCCTTTCAGTAAATACTGGACAACCTATGACCTGTTGGGTCATTCTGTGATGTGGCATAATTGGGCTGGATTTTTTTTTTTAACCTGGATGCTGGATGTTCATCGTCTCAAGAGTATTTCATGTGACCATGGGACACTGTTATGGCCGGAAATGTGGGAATAAACTGCTCTGATCATGGCGGAAATTTCAATTACCCAGGAATAATGGGTCCTGGGATCTTTTATGCATTCTTTAAATAAGGGGATTTGAAGCACATTATATCAAAACTTGTGATATAATATACCAGGAGCAGGGAGCACCTTCTGACTTCCTGTTGGTTTCACCATTGACTTTGCTTATGGGAAACTGTTAGGGAGCATTGAAATCATAGTAATGTGACCACAGCTGATCCGGGTGGTTCTGCAGTAGCTATAAGTTTGCCAATACAACTGATCTGAAGATCTTTGAAATTTCAATTCATTGGGAATAAAAGGTCCCCAAGTTTTTACGCATTCCTTAAATTAGCACATTTGTGGTATCTTGATTCAAACATTGCTGCCCTATGATGCACCATTCCTGTTAATTGAAGGTTACAAACAGACAAATAGAGTTTAGTGGTATATAGATAGTTATTAAAACTCAGTTGCAGACACTGGGTAACATTTTCAGGCCATCTTCAAGGGCAACCGTACACATAATGTGTTGTGGGCACATTAAATGAGAAATTAGAGATCACAAATATTGGATAACAAACTCTTTCCCTCTAGGAAAGGTTGTAGCTGGTAACCAGTCTAAATTGTTAAAGACCGTCTCTATGCTACAAAAGACACTTCCACAACAGGCTGAACATCTATCTATATCAGTGTTTCTCAACCTTGGCCACTTGAAGATGTCTGGACGTCAACTCCCAGAATTCCCCAGCCGGCGAATGCTGGCTGGGGAATTCTGGGANTGTCTGGCTGCTCTCAGAGGGTCAGATTAGGTAATTATCTCTTCAGCTTTTATTCTTGACACAGGGCTGCGTGTTGAGTCCCTTATTCTTTATGTGCATGACTTTATTCCCTAATAATGCTAGTATTACTATTACTAAATTTGCAGATGATACAACAGTGGTGGGACCTATCTCCGGGGGGTGTTGAGGATGAGTCTGCCTGTCGAGATGAGGTGGACTTGTTGCTTTCGTGGTGTGGACACCATAACGTGGTCCGTAACCACAATAAGACCAAGGAATTTATAGTGGACTGTAGAAGGAATAGATCAGACACCCAGCCCTTGCTTTGCAATGGAGACCGAGTGGAGCAAGTGGCCAGTTTTAACTTTCTGGGTGTTGTCATAAAAAGAGGACCTGACTTGTGGCAACTCACATTGCAGCCCTGGTCAAAAGGGCTCAGCAGAGATGATACAACCGGAGACTTTTCAGGAAACAACAACTGAATGGAAAACTGCTGGTGACCTTCGACCTCTGCAACATAGAGAGTATTTTAACTTACCGCACCTGTGTCTGATTTGCCAGTTGCACAGGGACAGATAGGATGCGCTCCAGAGGGTCAACGTCATTGCCCAGAGGATCATGGGTTGCCCTCTCCCCTCTTTGGAACAGCTTTAGAGCTCCCGCTGCCTTAAGAAAGTTTAAAACATCCTTAAAGATTCATCTCATCCTGGGCATCCTTTCTTTTTTTGAACTATTACCACCTGGCAGCCGGTACAGGATAATAAAAACCAGAACAAATAGGCTGAAAAACAGCTTCTATCCCAGGGCAGTAACTGTACTGAATTCTGCTGTATAGTGCAATATTAATGCAATATCGGGAGTTTTCAATTCAGTTGTATAGAATGCGAAGGATGTGTGTTTGTGTTTTATTTTTATAGTTATAATGTACACCGATGAATTTAATTTCATTGTAAACTACTAACTAGAAGTTGAAAAAAATAACTCGGAAAATTTGTGGCTTCTGTTGGCAAGCTCTAAGTTCTTTCTCCCTCCCCCTGCCCCCGATAATTCTTTCAAACAGGATGAAACAGATTCCAAGACCGCCTCTCCTTGGAAGGTAGGTCTTCTTTGAAAATAACGAGGCCTGGGACAGAAGGGAACAGAACGTGTCTTTAGTTAACATTTTTGTGCAGTTAATGGGAGTGGTTTTTTTAAGTAATTCTTATTTTCAATTCCCGTTCTGTCTCCAGTCTGCAAGAATGATGGTACACACTGTAGCAACATTTAACTCCATCAAGGTAAGGAATCCCCTCCATCCAGTGGTGGGTGGGATTCAAAAAGTTTTACTACCGGTTCTGTGGGTGTGGCAGGGGAAGCTTTGATTTGGTTTGGTTTTATTGGACTTATATGCCGCCCTTCTCCCAAAGGACTCAGGGTGGCGTACAACATAAAAACACATATGACAAAAGTTAAAAAA